AAGCATCAAGAGCGCCTTTGAAGCAAAGCACAAAGTCGTAACTGGGAGGGAAAGAGGAGGGAATGATAGCTACACTTGCTTAGACACTCGAGAAATGAAGTTTATTCGCTGACCGCAAGGCAAAAATACGCTTTAATGGCTGGCCTCCGCTAGCTGCCAGCGTCCGTGTCCGAGGCGAGGGTGCGGTTATATAAACGAGCTGCCCGCTCTGCCAAGGCCGCGCTTACGCGATGGGAGTAGAAACTGGTGGAAGAGGTGGAGGTAGTGGTGACGATTGAGGTCATTGCGGTGATATAAGAGGCTTCGTGGTGGTAGAAGCTCAGTTTGTTTGTGCGGTCATCATCATTGTAATCGTTGCTGGTGATAATAATGCAATAAGTGGCAAAGGGGTGATGTGGGTGAGCGGCTACAACGGCGCCAACGGTGCCCGACGTAGCATTAAACGCCTCGGCAGGCCTTAGCTGTCGTTCAGTCGTCGTCAGTGACGAGGCAGGTCCGACGGGCGGACCGGCGACTGCGGCCGAGTCACTCGTTCAATATGCAGGCGTGGCGGCAGCGGCGGCAACGCCAGCGAGGAGGACGGCGACGGCAGCCAAGCGTTCTCGCGCCACGCCGCCCTGGCCTTGTCCGTGGACAACGTGCTGTCGTGCCGCAACCGCCGTCGCCGACGCCGCCGACTCGCGACAGCCTTGACGCGGTGTTCGAACTCTGCGCCTAGCGACTGCAGACAGCAATGCAGTCTCCGCCTCGCGTCGGCTTATCCAGACGCTCGATGAGCTCAGTTCCAGAGACATCCCGCTTATATGGAACTTACTCGGCTACTTACGCTTCGCTTAACCTCGCAATTACTAGAACATCCACAAATACTATTCGGTAAATTCTCTGGGTAACCTTATGTAATAAAAATTTTAAAACAGAAGTACTGAATTAGGGAAGCTCAGCTATATCACCTTTCGCCATAAGAAGGAATTATGACAATAGGCCATCTCTCTAGCCCGGTCACTAATACTGCGAAAGGAGGGCAACCAAAAGCATGGCTAAAATGACGGTTAGAATGCCAAGAGTAAACCGCTCAGGCTGCAAAAAACAAAACAATTAAAACGCCTGGATACAGAAACAAAAATATTGTATTAATAACCCTGAAAGTGCCCACATAATCTACGACTGAGAACTGCCCGTAAAGTAGCGGAACAACGCTCACGATCAGCTGGGCGGTAACACTCTACGCAAGCGGTACAACCGTAAACATCGAAACGGCTCTAAAAACTCTCCGAAAATCCGAAGTTCGAGGCTTGTTCTACCGGGCACGGGCTGCCAACGCGCCCCGCGGAAAGGCTGCGCCGCCGGGGCGCCAGGAGCGTCGTATTCGCTTCGGATGAGGCGCGCGCCGTGACGCACCGGGTGCCGTTACGCTGATGCGGCCACCGAATTGCACGCCGCTCGGTCACGGTGGCGGCTTCGACACGCACGAGCCCTTCACCCACCTTGCTTTGAACCGCTCCACTCTTTAAAGGAGACTGTGTTTTTTTTTCTACTCCTTTAGTTTGCCAAACATGCACGAGATAAAGGGAAAAAGGATGTGGACTTTTCTTTCATATTTTCAGGTTCATCGCGTTGCTTACGACCCACATTGTGCAGACGATAGCTGCGGCAAATACCATGGTAGGTAATAGCTAACTACTACTTTTCGCTGATCATACTAATTAACGCCTATCATTTCATAACTATCCAGGCATGTCTCAAATAGTTTGAATGCCCTGAGTGCCACGTATAGAATTCGGAGGAAGATCTTCACAAAATAGCTTTAGATTTCATCAAAATAAGACCATCAGTGCACGGAAGATAGACAAAGAATCGAAGAAAAAGTGCTAAAATGTATGTTGCTCCCAGTTTCTTTCACTTAATACGTCAAAAAAGGCCAAAATAAGCTCAAAAATAAAACATGATCCAAGGCATTCGTTCGATCATGCTGCGGGTAGCTACCGAAAGCATACTGATTGCCGGCAAAATTTTTACGTTTTGTAACGGAGCAACACATGCATATGAAGTAGAAAGATCACGTCAGATAAACCCCGATCGACCGAAAAATCTTGGCGGCCGCGTCGTCTCGGCAGCCGGCGGGCCTCGTCGTCAACATGCACGCGCACGCGCCCATTCCATCATTTCCACTCCACCGTGCGCTCCTTGGGAGTCAGCGCGAGCCGTCGCGGTTCCCCAGCGCGCGTCGCGTCTGGCCGCAGGCGCCGTCGCATGCAGCGCCCGCGGCGGTGCCGGTGACGACGGCTGTGGCTGGGTCGCGTTGCCGCATCTATGGGCGAGCGTGCGCCGCGTCGGCCTGGCAGGCGCGCACGGACGGAACGCACGTTGCTTCCACACGGACCAGAAGCCGCGCATAAGTAAATCGATATGAAACCACCTTACTTTAGTAGACATAGTTTTTTAAAGATATAACATGAGGAACCATTTTTTGCTATAAGGACACCAAAAGTGTGATGTTTTTAATCGTACCTCGCAGTATCAACATAATATTTAGAGAAGTTATGTTTCTTATTGCAAGTTCGTAAAAGAGGAAAACCAGAGAGTGGATAAAACTTATCGTAAAACTTCGTGTTGTATCCTGAAGTAAAACTGCTACAAATGAGATTCGAACATCCTTCATCGCGCAAACACATCTTGAAATTATGTATGTATAAATTGATAAGGGAAAATTATACTTAATCGTCTCGCAAGGTTAATTATACTCCATCCAGCAGTTACTCTTCCTCTGTGAAATGCGTGCGGTGCCATGGAGGCCCACTGTGCGGCGCGGCGTGAGGCGGTCTCTGGGCCAGGGGGTCGCCCGACCGCCGGCGACCCAGCGACCTCGAAGGCGCGGGAGCGCGTCCACTCGGCTCCGCCCCGCCCCGCTCCGCTCTTCGCGAGCGCAGCCGTGCATGCGGCCGCCACGGCCGCCGGCTGCCGCCGCCCCGCCCCGCCCCGTGCGCGGACAGCGCGATGCGCTGCCAAGCCTCATTTGCATCGCCCTCCGCGCCACTGCGCGCTCCCACGACGCACTGCGGAGATACGGCGCGCGATCGTGTAAAAGGCGCTAATGCGCAGATGGGCCTTCTGCACGCCACGGCCTCGCCAGAGGACCCACTGCAATGTTGCACTGATTAGAAATACGTTCGTAAATGACTGAAGGCAGTTTTAGGAAATAATGAAATAGTTTGTCTAGAAATTAACACTAAGAGCGAGCACAAAGGTACGTGGAGCGTTTTAAACAAAACGAAAATGGGGGACTCCGATAAATAGAAATAAAAACTCGTATCTGACTTCGCAAAATGTTCAACTGTTCAATTACTAAAATTAGTGATGGTGGCTGCAGAACTTTTTATACAAAATTGTACGTGGCAAGCTATTATAAAATTTGTTGCAGAAATACAAGGTATAATCAATGAGAGTGTACTGATTATAGGAAACTTAATAATTTCAGCTTACGAAAAAGAGCAATTCATCTAACAAACATGTTTCTAAAAGGTGGCGAGGGGAAACAAAATATTACATCTCTCCGTATCTTTTATCACACACACTGATTACGTAAGGTGGTTCTTAACCACGAAACGCCGAAGATTGGGCCCCACCTGTCATCTCGCTCGCAAATCCGTCACTCCGCGCACGTGTCGGCGGGCCCGAGGCGCCCGATTGGCGAAAGCACGCGCGGGCGGCCGAGCGGGGCGGGCGAAACCAGTCCACTTCCTGCTGGGCCGAGGCCGCGCCGCCACCTCGGCCGGCAGACAATGGGCGCCGCGGCGTGCCTCGGCGGCGCCGGGCTCCGGCCGAGACGCCGGCCGCCCGCGCAAAAAACTCAATCCCCTTCTCCGTTCTTTCCCGCGGACATCTGAAATTCTGGCGCGGTTATCCCGAGCGCCGTCGCCGCCGCTTAATGAGCGCGCCCTGCTCCTTCCCGCGCGCGGCGTCGCCGCCGCAAAAATGGGCCTCGGCCGCACGCGGAATGCAGCAATCGTTACGAGGAGACATTTCGGAAATTAATAAGACCGACGTGGCGCGCGGGACAGAACAAGACGGGACGGGACGGGACGGGACGACGCTGCTACCGGCAGGCGGGCCTCGGTAACGAAGCAATACACGTAAGATCAAAAGAAGAGACGGGTCCGCGCTGTGCCACTGCGCGGCCCCGACCGGCTGCAGTAATTAGAGTGGGCAGCGTTTGGATTAACGACTGTCTCCACCCATCCATCTCGCCCGCTGCGCGCCCGCGGGCCAAGCGACTGGATCTCGAGGCGACCGCTCGCCAACGCCTGCGGCCGCCGGCGCATTCCACGAATCGATGCCCCTTACTCTGCGATTCGTGGACCATTGTGTAAACAGCTAACTTTTTTAACGGTGTCAGGCGATTTCGATATCTACGCTCTGTCAACCTCTACTTTGTGTCTACATTGAGAAAAATAATCCAGACCACGGTTCTGCTTAACCTCTTCCAGAATGTTCCGTGCAGATGGTGCGATTCTCATGTTTTGCTTCCAAGTTTCTCGTACGTTTTCTTCAGAAAATAAATGTTCCGAGCTTCGGTACAAGAGAAACGTGGGCGAAAGTTAAACTTTCAGTATTGCTAAAAGTACGTGAATCTACTTTTACTTACTGATAAACGTTGCACCTAGTATTCACGTCCAATCGCGCGAAAAAAATCAATAGTGTCTAACTTGGATTCCAGGAATTACTATACGACAATAACGCAAAGTCCAAATATTTTCGAATGAAACGTGGAGCCCATTGATAAATTCGCTCAAAATAAAACCTAATGTAGTTTGTCTTAAATATACTATAACCGCCAATGGTAGTTCTCGCCGTCCATCGCCATCGGAGTATTTAGGCCAGAACAGCATCCCACCTACCCAAAACTTCCATTATCTCTTCGTGTCCCAACGGCCACCTGCGAAAGACCAGACTAACAAGTACTAGACCTACCTTTCTTGCCGCTCTTGTTCTGCGTGTCCAGCGCGGCGGCCGCGGGCGCCACCGCCGCCTGCTGTTGTTGTTGCTGGTGCAGAGCAAAGGTGGGCGATGGCGCGGTGGCCGCCGCCGTGGGCGTGGCCGTCGCCACCGTCGTGGACGAGGTGGTGGTCGCCCCCGAGCTCCCGGCGTTGGTGGTGGAGGAAGTGGTGGTGGTGGTGCTGGTGCTGGTGGCACTGGTGGAGCCACCGCCGCCGGCCAGCGTGGCGATGGCCATCAGTTTCCGCTTGTGGTTGCACAGCTTGGTGAGGTCGCCGGAGGAGGCGGATTCGGGCGGCATCGCCCACGGCCGCGTCGACACCTGCGACAAGGAGGACGAGCCACGGTCAGAAACACACTCAGACTATTCAACTGCACGAACACTTACATCCTGCAAAACGAAACATTTGGTGTGATTCAATCGTCACATACAAAAAGGACAGTGAACGCAAGGGCAAAAAGAATAATGGGCAGGACAAATCTTACAAACATGATTAGACAACTGTAAACATTAATACCTATCATTTTCAGCTCCATCGGCTCAATTCTCGTGAGTTAAAAGATTTACATATTGTAAAATTTACTAAAAAACTTTTGAAAATTTTCAAAGAACTAGCACTTTGTCCCATTGACAAGCAAGTCTCATTTTGAAGCAACAAAGAACTTAAAGAGAACTACAACAAAAACACTTGCCTCTCAGGCAGTCGTATTCACCTTCCAAGTTCATCACCAAAAACTTTACACGAATTAAAGTAAGGAAGTGGAAATAATGAAACATTAATAACGTAGTATTCCACGTTCATAGTCATAAAAAGTTACGAGAAATACATTTCTTGGTTTGAAGATGCAAGGACATAATCTAAAATCAAGACGTTAGTTTGAAGGTCATAGTATTCATGAGTTACTTCATTAAGTCGTTTAATTTAATTTCCAACACTAGAAAGTCATAATTACTAGCACACAAACCTTGAGTGGACACGTTCAATTCACAAATTCCTTTCGGAGTCACCTCGCCCACACAAATTTCTTCGCGAGTTGATAGAATCGGACTAACGCCCATCAAATTACCGAAAAAATCCAGAATGCAAATGGCAAGATAAATAAACGATGCTTCAGAGTTTCGCTAATTAAGTCTGACGTGAATCTCGACAGGTTCACTAATTACGTGCGTCGCAACGCACCGGGTAATTCCAGTAAACGGGCGCGCCACTTCTGCTACGGACGCAATAAGCGGATATTGGGGCTTGAGGCGTAAACATAAAAGCAAAACGAATCGCTTGATTGAAAGCAAACGTAATAACAGCAGTTTCGTCTTAATAGGGCTGCTCGCAAACACAGAGTGATTTATGGCGTAACGTGGTACTGGTCAACTGTCGATCAAATGGGTTACTGCATTTACCTGGCAGCCATCAAAGGACACGCGACATATACCGGATCTCGGAGTGAAATACGGCCAGACAAGCAACGATGTTTCTCCCACTACGGGGTATCACACAAGTCAATATTAGCGCAACATTTTCCCTGCCATTTCCAGCCTATAATTGCCATTAACCGAGAGCCCTAATTTCCCAAAAATGTATTCACCGAATTCAGGTAAAAGTTTTAAAATAATAAAAACAGAGGAACTACATTCCAGTATGGATTGTGTTGCTACACATACACTATATTTTCATGGATGTATATTTACTACTTTTCATATCTGAAGCCTTCGAATTTAATGTTGTTATTCTTTTCACGTTTCATAAGAAAATGCAACGTCATGCCACCATTCAGAAAAACACTAGCTGCACAAACCATACGTATAAGTGAATTGTCTATGCCATGTAACTTAGAATACAATCATCTAGAAAAGTCAGGTATCATTATTTATATCTGGACACCTCATTTCCCAAAATTCATAGAACATGAAGTTAACTATTTATGCTCTAACCCCCCTGCGCGAAACAGCTATTTTTTTATCATTCTGTGTACGAATGATTAAAGTGTGTGCGAAATACACGTTAGGTAAATTACTACACTTTTTTAAAATTATTCGTTAAGGTTTAATTTTGAAAAATTAAAATTACACCTTTCAGAAATATCGAAGGTTCAATACCACAAATATCTGAGGAACCGGCAGTAATATTAAAATGAGCTGGAACGTCGTCCTGTTTCTCTTTTGTCCTTACAATCATTTCCACTTAAAAATGACCCTGAAGTTCGAATAAATCCATTAATTCTTTTCATAAAAATATTTTTTACGAGATAAATAGCCATAGAATAAAAATGCGAATTATGAACAACGAGCCAATTCACTCTGCAGAGTGGAAAGTCAGGGAGCACAGGAGGACGGAGACGCAATCGTGAGCGTAGGCGGAGAGCCGTCCCACAACCTAATAGAGCGGGAAGCGATTTGCTTATGATACGACGAGGGAGGGGGAGAGCTTGGTGCGCTGGTGGCCGGGAGGTCGGGGCTTTGTTGAAGTGTTCCGCGAACTTGTGCCGCTCCTCGCGCCGCGCCAGCCCCTGCGAAGCGTGGAACGGCGACAGCGGAAGCGGGCGGGCGCGAATGGGGCGGCGAGCGAGGGAGGGAGGCGGCAACAAGTTCGGAACTGTTCCACTACGCCATTCATTGCGATATTCGACATGCTGGGCCGCCATAGGGATGCAAATGGCAACAAAACGAGTGATGTTGGTGCTGGGCGAGGTAACTATTAAGGTCACAAGTCCCGTATGAAGTGCAATGCATGGTATATCTCTGCAGATGGCGGTGTTCCTATCACACAAGGTCGTGAGGTTCGGCGCCGACTTACACATTGGGTTTTGTGAGATACGGTTTGCTCCTACCGCTGCACAGAGTCCAGAATATAAACCTTCTACGATCTTTTTCATCGTGTACGATCGTATACTTTCTACGTTCTTTTTCATCAAGTAATCCACATTCATTATGAGTGAAATATTCCTTTCATTTCAAGAAATATGCATTAAGAGAATGCGAAAACAGACATCTAAAACACTAATTTCATAGTGTGTAAGGTGCAGAAATTTAGTCTAAAAAATACACACGAAACGATTTTGGAACACGTTTAGAATACGGTAGGCTACAATTACAAAGAATTTCTAACATTTACGAAGGGAGCCTTTGCTGGTAGTCTCCACAGCTTCAACCATACAGTGCCTGGAGATAAAGACTGAATGGCGGGACTGCGATAAAGACTGACTGGAAACAACCGTAAGCGAAAGGAGCCTTACCCGAAGTGAACTAGAAGCGCATTCTTTGCGGAGTGCTTGGTACACGTGCTTACTCCCACGTCCATTTGCCACAAGGGAAGACAATCCGCACGGTCTGCTTGCCAGCCACCTGGTAATTGGCATTAGGCGAATACTCCCGCGAAGGAACTGTTCTTATCTCGAAGCGCCGCACCCGCGAGGCAGCGGAAGGTTACAGCGACTGACCGTATTCGCGGGCGGCAGGGAGTCGGAGAAGTGGAGAAAATGGCGGCGAGGAAAAGGTAACGTAACGAACGACAAGACCCAGAGCTGAGAAGAGCGGAGAAAAGAGGCGGCGGGTAGCGGGGCTTCGCGGCACAAGACGAGATGGGTCGTGGCGGGGACAAGAAGGGTCGACACGTGGACAAGGTGGCTCGACGCGGGGACAAGACGGAGAGAGACCTGGGCGAAGTAGGGGGAGATGGAGGCGGGTTAGGGCGATGGTGGTTGCGGGCCGACAGATGCAGAGCAGCGGCAAGAAATGAGAACGGTGCGGGTAACGATCGCCGGCAATTTCGGAGGAGATTGTTACTGGAATTATAACTCCGGCGGGGGTCTCCGCAGCCAAATAGATCCAGCTGACAACCAGTTGCAATTTCCTCGTCGCCAAGGAGCTTCCACTGCGCTTCGCTTCACGTCGCGCTCTTTAAACTCTTTTTCTTCTTCCCACGGGGCAGGTGCACGCGGCACAGCGCGGCGCGGCCTGGCCCGCCCGCTACATTTCCTCCTGCTCCTCCTCCTCCCCCTCCCAATGGCTTCTTTCCCGCGGCACAGCTGCCAGTGTCCTTTGCTCTGCGCTTTGAGAATGTTGGGTATTTGAGGTTTTGAGCGTCCTGGAGTGCTGCATTTGCTAGTGGTTTCAATTCAGGGAGAGTGAAACGTTTAAACCTATTGCCGATATTTTTAAAAGTGTTTTTTTTTAAACAGGTGTTGCAGGCTGAATATTTTGGCAGACATTTACAATTCAAAGTCACACTCGAATCACATGTTGATGACACAACTACCTTTGAATTCTAGTGATATGAAAAAAAAATTAGGTAATTAGAATTAATAGGGTTTCACGAGAACTTCATTACCTTTGCTTGAAACACGTAAACTCGTTAATATTGCAGTAAAATGTATCACAAAAAACTTCCTCAGATATCTTATTCATTGATCAAGCTTAGATTATACAAATTTCAATGCCTGATGTAATCCCGTCAAACATGGGGATTAGTGCTTGATCATTGAAGAACTTCAGAAGTTCACACATATTGCATTACTTTTTCCACTTGTATAGTACGCTAACGAGGTAGAGAAATTACATATCTGTTCAAATATTGGGCAACGAATCTCTCTAAATTCAAGGAGTAAAGTAGGAGAGACGAAGAAACGCCTTCAGGGGAGAACGACCGCATTCTATAGGACCCGACCGATGGGTGTTGGAGGTGGGGTCTGAAAACGCCTTCCTTCGCAGAAGAGCAGAGCAGAGCAGAGCAAAGCCGAGCCCAGCAGGGCCGCGGACGCGAGGTGCACGGCGACGCGGCTGCGTCGTCGTCTGCGCTCGCCGGTGCCTCCGCCCTCTCCACGCCCAACGTCACCCGGGCTCGCCGGCTCTCCTGGCGAAGGTCGCGGCGGCAGCCGCGAACCGGCCGGCGCGCCGGGCGCTGGCTGGCGGCGCCGCCGCGACGCCGCCCCCGCCGCCGCCGCCGACGTTGCGCTGCACAGCATGACGAAGCGGTGGAGGCGGCTTGTGCACCCGACAGGGCGAACGGCCGCTGTTCACTCGGAAGCAATAGATTCGCGGCACCCTCATGCTTGCATCCATCCTTCCCGTTGCTTTCCTTCTCTTTCGCCCCTATCTCTCTTCCATTCGCTTCTAAGGAACAAGCCCACGAACGAATCAAAACAAAGAAACAAAACTCAAGTCGGCAGAGAAGACTTCAAGATTAGGAAAAGGAAAATCGAGAAGCGAATCCCAAAGACGAGAAAATTTCTAACACGTGAAAAAGAAATAAAAAAGAACGGAAAATGTGAGAAAAATGTTTAGAAGCGTGGATACAATGGAATGATGAGCAGCAACAAAGAAACTGTCTAGTCACGAGAAAGGCTATTTGCATACATAAAATGTCAAAATGCTACCCCCAAAATGTAAAAGTAGAAATCAGAATTGCATCAATTTCATTTTAGCAGAACATTTTATTACATACTCTCGGCACTCATAAAATAGTCCCATTTCTATAAACGTTTACATAACATTTTTATTGACAGAATTAATACTTTGAAGTGTTTCCAGCATTTCCATTTCCTAAAGAATTGTCCGGCCCTAATCGTACGAGCAGAGTATTACGGCAGTTGCTCCCCCAATTCAAATACGCCCTCTGGTTCCGCAATCCACGTTTACGAACCGGAAAAGCGCGCCCGTCCGTCCGATATAAAGCGTTGACGACCTGACCGTAAACCGCCAGGGCAGATGGGGGCGCGCGGAAAAAAATGCGGATGCCTGTGCGGATGCGATCAAAATAAAGTATAAAAACTTGAGACGATCGCCATCACATTATCTGAGCACTATCAAATTTCCAGATAAGAGTGAAAGAAAATCTAGTTACTTCTCGTAAATGCGAGGAGACATCCTGCCATAACATGTCCCTGTTGTACGGCCCGAGTTGTTCGTTTAATAGTTATATCAAATTTCATTCTTAATAGTTCGATTAAGTTTCTTAATACATTGAACGCAAAAACAATTTAGCTTTAAATCTACAAAGTTGCAACGACAACGAAATGGATTTGCGAAGCAATGCAGGACACACTGCATACTTGACAAGTCCAGGAAAATTGAAAACGTTTACAACTTGGTAGAGGTTTGTATTTTTGTACGTACGTACGTACGTACGTACGTATGTATGTACGTATGCATGTACGTACTTGGAGCGATAGCCCGTGAACGGGCTCAGGCCTACCGGGTAGAAGTTTAAACCCAATAATTAAGTAAAAGCCACTACATAAATGTGATGGACAAAGACATACCCTATAGTTTACACCTATTTGTTCGGTTATATAGTAACACTTGAGTGGACCCTGCGAATGGGGAAATTCTACTGTTAATTGAAGCAACCCATTTTGGTTCCCTTCTAACAACTTGGTCGCGCAAGCACAGAGCCAGCACCTGGGTGCCGCCTAGTGCCTTCGCACCGGAGCGGCGATGCATTTCGCGCCGACCTTGGAAGTCGGGACCCTCAGGAGAAGAGATGGAGAGAGAAAGAGAGAAAAAGAGGCGGGAAAGCGAAAGCAGTAAACGCGGCGAGGCGAGGCGGCTGAAGCGTCAGGGAGCAAGCAAGGAGAGCACAACTCCGGGAGCGTCACGCCCAGCGGTAGCGCCTGCCGTGCCGCGCCGCGCCGCGCCGCGCCCAAGAAGCTACTTGTCGAGGCGTGACCGCTATTGCCCGACGATGCTCGGCGGGCGCTGTCAGCCGCGGCAACACGAGGCCCCTTTTTTCACTTCTTTACTGGCGACGTCGTCTCCTGAATATTACCTTTTTCACGATCCCTGGTCGTAAATGATACGATTAAAAGGATGATTGCCCTACAGTTCATGTAGTTTTATTTGAAGATGTAAGTTTATAAAAATAACACAATCTTACAGTAATTCACACTTCTTACGCTTATGACGAATTTACTAACACATCACTGCACAATGCCACATTATTCTTAATGAGATTTTCATATTGTAGCGCTTAGTCGTCTTTGTTTTTCCAAGAACCTTTCCAATACGTACGAGTAATCTGCACGGAGATAATTTCACATTTTTATTGCGCAAGTTGTCACAAATATTAAGTATCGAACGTTTGTGAACCTCATATTTCGTACAATTACCATCTTCATCACTACCGCAAAAGTTATCGGTTCGTCAAACTTGTTTAGCGTTTTATAAGAAATTTCCCGAAGGTAATATAACACAACGACCATGTAATACAATAAACTTCCATGTTTGTGTTCCTACATTTCGCTCAAAGGACGAAAACACTCGTACTCCTTGTAACATACCTTGACCTTTAATTTTAACTTCTAATCCACGACAGTGCGTAGTTACGTCCGCAACTGATTGAACCATTAGACCGCCGTTCGCCAGAAATCTATCAACCCTTCCAAAATTTATTGTACTGCCCTCGCCTTTTGCGAGCTCCTTGGTCGGGACGGCCTGCTCCGGCGGCGCGCGCGACTAAACGCCGCCGGCCGGCCGTTGACGATGCAGAGATAAAATTGATGGGACGTTTGGGCCACGCGATAAGGCCGCCCCGCCGGCTGAGAGATGCCCCGCTTTTATCTGCGTCGCGACACGATCGTTCGTCTTGCACGACGCCCGCCCGCCCGCGCTCTCGCCCACTCGCGCGACCGAACGACGCCCCGCCCAGCGCGGACAATCGAAAGCTTTGTGAGTGGGCCGGCGGAGCGTGAACGCACGGCCGGCAGGTGGTCTTCCCGCCGATGAAAACAAGCCGTCTCTGAGGCGCGCGCGCGCTCTGACCTCACGGGGGCGCGTACCCCGGTGGGCGCGTGGCGAGTCATCCCGACGCGTGTCGCCGCGGGCTCAGTACTAGGGAGAAGGAGAGAGGAGAGGGAAGAGAGAGAGAGGAGGGAAGAAGAGACAGCGGAGTGGAGAAGAGAGGGGAAATAAGAGGGAGAAGGTGGAGGGAGGAGTGAGGGAAAGGGGAGAAAGAGAGAGAAGCGAGGAGGAACTGTGCTTAATGTGAGGACGGCGACATGATGAACGTTGTAACGCTTTTTACGCGGGCGGGGATTGTCTGTAACGAGAGTGAAGGCCAAGAAAATATGCAAGCAAGGCGATGTTTGCGACAGAGAAACAAAACGCCGTTGCTGGTGCTTAGGCGTCATTGGTTCGAGTTGAAAAATCATAAATAAAGATTAGGGTGACTTTACCAATGCTATGTAACAGAACACGTGTACGTG